TGCCCCGGTGCGGGAGGATCCCACATGCCGCGGAGCGGCTGGGCCCATAAGCCATGGCCGCTGAGCCTGCGCATCCGGAGCCTGTGCTCCGCGGCGGGAGAGGCCGCAGCGGTGAGAGGCCCGCGTAACGCAAAAAACAACAACAACAACAAAAAAGACTCTGTTCTCGTCCACTGATCTCTATGTATATACTTTAGCGAGTACTACACTGTCTTAATTTCTGTGGCTTTACAGTAAGTCTTGAAGCCAGGACTATTAGTCCTCCAACTTTGTTCTTTATTTATTTATTTTTTGATGTGGACCATTTTTAAAGTCTTTATTGCATTTGTTACAACATTGCTTCTGTTTTATGTTTTGGTTTTTTGGCCGGGAGGCATGTGGGATCTTAGCTCCCCTACCAGGGATTGAACCCGTACCCCCTGCACTGGAAGGCGAAGTCTCAACCACTGGACCACCAGGGAAGTCTCTGTTCTTCTTTTCAAAATTGTTTTGGCTACTCTAGATGTTTTGAATTTCTGTGTAAGTTTTAAAACTGACTTGTCAATTTCTACAAAAACACCTGGTGAGATTTTGATTGAGATTACATTGAATCTATAGATCAATATGGGATGGAATGGCAATTTAACAATATTGAGTCTCCCAATTTATGAACACAACATCTCTGTTTATTCAGGTCTTCTTTAATTTCTCTCAGCAGTGTTTTATAGTTTAAAGTGTAAAGATCTTGTACATAATTTCTTCATGTTTTTGGATGCTATCGTAATTAGTATTTTTAATTACAACTTTTAGTTGTTCATTGGGGTTATATAAAAATAAAATTTTAAAATATTGACCATGTATCCTGCAACACTGGTAAACTCATTTCTTAGTTGTAACTTTTTATTGTAGATTACTTAGGATTTTCTACGTAGATGACTATGACAACTTCAGTTAAAAACAAATGTTATATATTCTTATCCAACGTGTATGCCTTTTATTTTGTTTTCTTTCCTATTTTACTAGCTAGGACAGTACAATATTAAATAGAAGTGGCAAGGGAAGATATCCTTGCTTTGTTTCCAATCTTAGGTGGATAGCATTTAATCTTTCACTGTATGTATGATGTTATCGAGGTTGAGGAAGTCCCCTTCCATTGCTAGTCTGCTGATATATGTTAGCATGAGTGGATGTTCAATTTTATCAAGTGCTTTTCTGCATGTATTGAAATGATTATATGTTTTTTCTGGTCATATAGTGAATTATGTTGATCAGTTTTCAGATGTTTCAGCAACCTTGCATTTGTGGGATAAATCTCTCTTGTTCATGATGTATTACCTTTTCAATATGTTGCTGGATTTGCTAATATTTTTTAAGGATTTTTGTATCTGTTTATGGGAGATAGTGGTTTGCAATTTTCTTTTTCTTTTCCTGTAATGTTTTGTCATTTTTGGTATCAGTGTAATGCTGATGTCATTAAATGAATTAGGAAATATTCCTTCCTCTTATATTTTGCGTTGTGTAGAGGTGATACTATTTCTTCTCTTATTGTTTGAGAGAATTCACCAGTGAAGGCATCTGGTTTTGTGTGTGTGTGTATGTGTAAAGGTTTTTAAACTGCAAATTCAAATTTAAATAATATAGGATCATTCAGGTTGTCTGTTCATTTCTTCTTGAATGAGCTTTGATAATTTGTATCTTTCAAGGAATCTGTTTCATTTAAGCTACATTTATTTCTGTAAAGTTAGCATATTATTCACTTATTTTTTAATGTCTGTAGTGCTATAATGATTATTCTTGATATTGATAAATGTATCTTCTCTTTTTTTTCTCAATTTGGCAGAAGTTGGTCAATTTTTTTTTTTTTTTTTTTTTTTTTTTTGCGGTACGTGGGCCTCTCACTGTTGTGGCCTCTCCCGTTGCGGAGCACAGGCTCTGGACGCGCAGGCTCAGCGGCCATGGCTCACGGGCCCAGTCGCTCCACGGCATGTGGGATCTTCCCGGACCGGGGCACGAACCCATGTCCCCTACATCGGCAGGTGGACTCTCAACCACTGCGCCACCAGGGAAGCCCCAGAAGTTGGTCAATTTTACAAATTGTTTCAGAGAACCAGCTTTTGTGTTCATTGACTTTCTCTATTATTTATTTTCATATTTTCATTATCTCCTATTTTATTTTAGGTCTAATTTGCTCTTCTTTCTCTAGGTTCTTAATGTAGAAGCTTGGATTGTTGATTTCAGACCCTTTTTCTTTTGTAATTGAATATTTAATGCTGGTAATTTCCCTCTAAGTAATACTATAACCACAGCTACATCTCACAAATTTTGATGTTATATTTTTATTTTTATTCATTTCAAAATATTTTCTAATTCATGTTTTCTTCTTTGACCCATAGGTTATTTAGAACAGTGTTGATTAATTTCTAAATATTTAAAGATTTTCCAGATATATTTCTTTTTTTCCCACTTCCTAGTTATTTTACTACATTTTGCTATTATCTATACCCTTAAGGTTATTTACACTTATTTTATCTGTTTGGTAGAAATATTACATAACAGTGTGCAGTGGTGCATCACTTGTTCCATGACATCACATTAGTGCTTGAAATCAGCCATGGTGGGAGTATTTACATCACTTAGATTTACCAGCACACTGAGGATATAAGGGGAATATTTTCTCCCTTGAAAATCTTGGTGTATAAATCCTTAGACACTAAAAGTCATCCAGATATCTTTCTGTTTTGATATCTAATTTAGTTCTATTGTGGTCTGGGAACCTATTCTGTATACTTTCAAAGCATTTAAATTTATTGAGGCTTGTTTTATCTCCCAGAATATGCTCCATCTTGGTTGGTGTTATATGTGCACTTAAAAAGAATGTGTATTCTGCTGTTGTTGGGTGAAGCGTTGTATAGATGTCAATTAGGTCAAATTTACTGATGTTTTTCAAGTGTTTTCTATATTTACAGATTTTGTTTATAGGTTTTTTCAACTAATCAGAGAGAAGTGGTGAAATCTCCAATGATAATTGTAGATTTGACTTTCTCTCCTTTTAGTTTGATAGTTTTTGCTTTATTGTTTTAGAGCTCTGTTATTAAGAATGTTTTTTCTGGGGCTTCCATGGTGGCGCAGTGGTTGAGAGTCCGCCTGCCGATGCAGGGGACACGGGTTCGTGCCCCGGTCCGGGAGGATCCCACATACCGCGGAGCGGCTGGGCCTGTGAGCCATGGCCGCTGAGCCTGCGCGTCCGGAGCCTGTGCTCCGCAAGGGGAGAGGCCACAACAGTGAGAGGCCCGCGTACCGCAAAAAAAAAAAAAAAAAAAAAAAAAAAAGAATGTTTTTTCTTCATGAATTTTCAATGCTTTGTTATAAAATTATAGAATTCTAGGCTAATTCATTTTTATCTCTCAGCATTTTTTAAAGCCCTACTGTTGTCTCTAGCTTGCATAATTTCAGAAGCAAAGTTTGCTATTTTTTATCTTTGTTTCCCTGTTTTTATTTTATATACTTCACAGATTCCAAATAATTTCACATACGTTTTCTCATTTAGCTTTATGATTATTTGTACTGAGAAGTTTTTGTAGTTTCACTCAAATCAGTAAACATTTGTGGAAGGAAAAAGATTTTACAGATAGCTACTTTTTAAAGATTAAAAAAAACCCGAACTCCTTAAAAGCACTAATACTTACTGTCACTTAATTACACAGAAATTGTTAGCTTCAAATGAGATCAGCCATATTTAAAAGATAAGATAAAACTAGAACAGAGTCCACCCCCCTTTGTTTTGTGCTCTTGCTTCTCTAAGCTTAGAAGTGGATTTTCTTTCATTTTAAAAGGGTAGGCAAATGTGTTTATGTTGTTCTAAGATATTTTATAGTAGATCTTAGTTGTGAAAGTGGATCAATAACAAGATTAATCCTGATAATTTCTTACTAATAATTACTAATAATAGAAGAGAATAATCTCAGTGCCAATTTAAAATAAATTGGTATGTGGTATCTGTGAAGAAGCTATCAATTTAGAGCACCCATTAATAAAACAGTCCTAAAAATGTTTATATAGTCACATTATATTTGTCATGGATATTTGTACTTTAAAGACCCCCAAGTACATGGGGCTGAAGACCAGGTGCAACTTAGAACTAATTAAGCTGGTCAATAAGAATTGTGTTACATCAAAATTATCTCTAAATATATACAACCGAGGCCTAAATGACAGATGGGAAAAATTAAATTAGCTATTGTGATTTACCTAAAAGTTCTCAGGTTTTTTCATTTTTAGTCTGAACAGTTTGATTATAAATTAGTTAATATGTGCTGAATGGTAAGCCTAAGCTAGATGGAGTTGGTAGGTGGTATTTAAAGATTTAACCACAGTGCCATATTACTCTTGCCCCCCCCAAATCCCATATTTCTAGCACTTTATGCAAGAAATGATCACTGGATTTTTCCTTTGTAGAAAATTTAAATCTGTTTTTGTTATTCTACTTTTTATTTTATTTATTTTTTTGTGGTACACGGGCCTCTCACTGTTGTGGCCTCTCCTGTTGCGGAGCACAGGCTCCGGACGCGCAGGCTCAGCGGCCACAGCCCACGGGCCCAGCCGTTCCGCGGCATGTGGTATCTTCCCAGACCAGGGCATGAACCCGTGTCCCCTGCATCGGCAGGCGGACTCTCAACCACTGCGCCACCAGGGAAGCCGTCTACTTTTTATTTATTTATCTATTTGGCTGCACCGGGTCTTAGCTGCCGCTTGTGGGATCTTCATTGTGGCATGCAGGATCTTTAGTTGTGGCATCTGGGATCTTTAGTTGTGGCATGTGGGATCTTCAGTTGTTGCACACGGGGTCCCTAGTTGTGGCATGCGGGATCTTTAGTTGCGGCATGTGGGATCTAGTTCCCTGACCAGGGATTGAACCTGGCCCCCCTGCATTGGGAGCATGGAGTCATAGCCACTGGACCACCAGGGAAGTCCTACTTCTTATTTTTAAAAGATTCACTTGATTTTATATTTTTCTGTGACAGGTATCTTCACACAAGGACAGCTGGGCCTGGTAGACATCATCTTCCAGTACATTCACTGTGATGAGATCTATGAGGCAATAAACATCCTGAATAGTATGAACTGGGACACTCTGGGCTACCAGTGCTTTATCAGCATGACTGCCATCGTAAACCATCTTCTTAGACAAAAGCTCACTCCAGAGAGAGAAGGTCAGACTTAAAATATATTTCATAAATGGGTTTTGTATATACATGAAGTACATTTTTTTTTTTTTTTTTTACCATCTTTATTGGGGTATAATTGCTTTACAATGGTGTGTTAGTTCATGAAGTACATTTTATTGTTAGTAGTTTTTTTGAGGATGTTTTGAAGTCATGTTACTGGAGATTAGAAGACAAAAATGTTAATGCCCTATTAAACTGACAAAATGAGGTATCAAATAATTACTTCCATACGGTACTTACTGTATAGTACTGGTCAACGTAATAACTTTTCTGTATATACCTATGTTGGAACTCACAATGAAGTCACTGTATATTTCAGACTAAGTTCATGTGTAGAATATGCTCAGATTTCAAACTTTGATGAGAAATTTCATGTACTCTGTAGGGTTTGGAAGACAAAGGGCCCTAAACAAAGTCCTTATTTCTCCTTTACTTTAGACATCAGTATTTTTCTTTCACATCCCGAGTTCTTTGTCCAGACAGTAGACCTTACCACTGATTGTGTGTGTGTGATTTCCCAACCTTCTCCTAATAAGTTATTTTGCCCATAGGATCTCAGATGTTTATTGTCAAAGAGAGACAAGGCACTGTTAACAAAAAAGAAAAAAAAAATATGTGCCACATACAATAATGAAATCAATTTTTATATTTGCCAGTTATCCAGTGTATGTTATTTTTATTATGAGTAATTTATTTACTTAATGTAAAATGCATCTAAACATTCTTGCATTCATATCTTTATTTCAAATGTTTGTAATAAGCATTGATATTAACAGTGGGAAATAATGGCCAATGAGAAACTTTCTGTATGTGATTTACAAGGTAAGGAAAACAGGGAATATGTCAAAAGGCCTTTACTGGAGAGCTTTGCTTCCCCACTATTTTCTTTCCACGTTTATAGATTTTCTTATTCCATTTTATTACGTTTCCAAAGTAAACAAATTGTTTAGATAGTATTCTGTACATAACCTTCATTTTACTAATTTTAGAGAAGAATAATCAGCAAGAACATGTTCTTTCAAGAAGTCTGCATCATGAGACTTGGCCCCAACTCATAGGAGGCCCACAATAAATATTTATTTAATGTTAATTGAATGTGCTTTTTGGAGGTAGTCCAACACATCTACGGAGATTCCAGTACTTCTGCAATGAGAAAATGCATAGCACAGTACTTGGCCCACAGTAGGTACTCAATGAATATTAGTTAAAAATAAAAAGAAGATTATAACTTCAAAATTTTAGGGTTCTAGGATTACTGTAATATTTCTACCTGCAGAGTTATCTCAAGTAATTATTTATTAGTATTGGTACACTCTTCAGGTTGGGTAGATAGCAGAGGAAAAAAAAAGTAGCAGGGTCCCTAAAGAAAGTCTGGTACACATAATCCATGCAAGATACTCTAAACTTACAGTTGAAGAAATAAGAAGATAAAATATTGACTCTTAGGAGACTGAGAAATTGCTAGCACCTTAGTGAATTTGTGTTGTAAGATCCCTGTGTAGTAAGAAAGATTATTAGGAAATTCACAAATGGGTATTATCAGATTCCCGCCTTAATAAAGGATATTATCAAGGAACCATATTGGGTGGATAGGGAAATAAAAAACTTGTATGATATACTAGGCTATTAAAATAAAATGCTTGCATGATGCTGGGTTATCAGAATATGTACATTTTAAGCAGGTATATGCATTTTCCCCCAAGTAACTACAAAACACATTTCTAAAACATTTACAATTCTTCTCTATTGAGATTTATTCTATCTGAATCTAACAAATTTGACATGGTAATTTGTTTTCCTCTTATTAGTGGAACCCAGTGAGCTCTTTTATTTGTAGCTGTGCTGTGGTTGTCTTTGAGATCTTCATTTCTGCCTTAAACATCAAGCTGGGCTATCTAATGAATCTATAACTGTGCTGAGACCTACGAGTATTCCATGTAGGCTCAAACATTTCAGATGTACGGAACATGCTGTCAAGAAAACAAGCAATGGCAAGAGAATCTGGCTTGCTTTCACAATGGCATTGCTGTATTCAATTTTAATCTAAATTGACTGCTGCTTTGAAAGAAAATACCACTAAAGTTCATCTTACTTTACTGTCTAGATTTGAGATTAAAAAAAGAAATAGCTAACAGCTTAGCCAAGTCCATAGCAATTACTCTGATGAGGTATGCAATACTTTCAAACCCAGATATGCTTAAAATTAAAGAGTTTTGCTAAATAAGGAATTGTTCATTCAACCTAATGCTAGTAGCATAAAAATCAGTGGAGTCTTACTGTGAACTGTATTCTCATACAACTCTCACCATTATGGTAATTATATATTTTCCAGGTATTTCTTGGAGGAAACACAACCCCATTGGCATGTCTTGGTAAAAGTGTAAATTAGGCAAAATGTGCTGTTTTCTCCCAATCACTAGCCCTTTGGCTTATCAAAACCTGCTCTCCAATCCTTCCTTCCTAGGAGGGTGTCAGTTGACCAAAGCAGATTAACGTACCTCCCAGGGGTGTGTTAACTTTCACACTTGGACAAAACCAACAATCTTGTTGTTCAGGACAGGATTTAAGGAAGGTATAGGGAATTTCAGTCTTTCTCTAAAGTTGTAATAGAGAGATATTATTACTCCAATCAGGATATTTTTATTTGTATTATTTTTTTAAACATTTCTAATACTGATTTCAGTGCCTAATGCAGAAAGGCTAGTTTGTTCCTTCCAGCTAAAGAGTAAATGTTGAGCACACTGTGAGTTGATTTTACTGGAAATACTAGTTCAAACTGTGTTACTCTGATGAGTCACTGTTTTAATTACCCATTTGTGGTGAGAGGTTGATTCATTATGGATTTCTTCAGTTTTGACAGCTTTTTGTTGCTCAGAGTCATTGTCAGCTTTGCTTCAAGTGAAAGTTTATACACAGGTTTGTTTTTGTATCAGCTGTCATATTTTAATTTCATCTTTCCTGCAACAAGCTCACATTTCATCCAAGTTTGCAAAACCTGACTGACTGCAAACATGAGTATTCTGTTGTAATTGAAGGAGTTTCACTTGTTTTAGTGCTGCTATGTTTGAATTCCACAGCACAGCTTGAGGCAAGCCTTGGAACCTTCTATGCTCCAACAAGACCACTCCTGGATACAACTATATTGGAATACAGAGACCAAATCAGCAAATATGCAAGGAGATTCTTCCACCACTTACTCAGGTGAATGATATCTTTGGATTAATTAGTGTCAGACTAATTACCTATTCAAGGAGCCATCTTCTTTAATTAGAATATTCCATAATATGGCTATATCTTTTTTAATAGTCTGTCCCCTAAGAGAAAAAGAAATTGGCTCTTGATATTCTTTATTTAATTCGTTCTTGTTTTCCTATTAAGGACTATATTGGAATATTGTTGAGGGCTTTTACATCATTACTACACTTTAATATAATTGCCCCTTTAATACAAAAGCAAAAAATACCAGCTATGTAAAGTGAATTTTAAAATATTAATTGTACTCTTAACAATAGAGAAATGTTTATTTTAATTGCAGCTAAAATGAATGTGCTATAAAGTTCTAAGACAGTCACAGGTCTGCTTTACTTTCAGAATTACTGTAGAGAGATTTGCTCATTGTCTTCCTATACAAGGTGGCAAGTTGCTAGCTTCACTGTGCCTCATTTTCTCTGCTTTAATTTCCTTTAATTCTTTTAATCTTATGGATTATGTGAAAAATTAGATAATGTCAAGAAGTTACTCTGAGACAGATACTGCAGAAGTTGAAGCACAAGTACATATAGCATTTCTCTATATATAAAGTTCAAAAAATGGATGGAAGATGAATGGATGGATAGAGATGGATGGATGGATGGATAGATAGATAGATAACTAGCTAGTTAGTTACTTTAGGGATACATCTGAATATGTCAGTGCTAGAAGTAAAAGCAAAGAAGTGAGTATAACAAAATTTAGGATATTGTGGAATGGGTTAAGAGAAATATGAGAGGAACAAGCCCATGGAGCCACCAAGGTATTAGTAATGTTCCATTTCTTAAGTGGGGTATATATCAGGGTCCAATAAAAATTATTATTCTTTTAGCTGAAAGTATACTTTTTGTGTACTTTTATATATATTTTATAATAGAAAGTAATAGAATTTTCAGTTTCATGTACCATAAATTACATTGAGTTGAATTTAGAGTTTTCATTTTACTTACAGTATAACCTAGCTGTTGTAGTTCTTTTTAACTCAAGCAATTTCATGTATAGTCTCCCCTTTTTTTCCTCAGAACAACCCTGCTAAGGAGGTATTATCAATTGACAAATGAGTAAACTATTTATAAAGTGGCACTTTGATCTCTACCCAACAGTGAAACCTTTGGAAAACAGTCTTTATAGAAGCTGAGAGATGTTAATATATTGCATGAGTTATGACCTATAATTGAATATTGCCTTTTTATCTGAACGATTTTAGTATATTCTAAAAGATTCTTCACCCTAAATGAGGCAGTGTTCTATGTATAGTCATATACATAGACATGACAGAAATACTGGGACTGATGTAGTACTGATGTAACCACACAGACTCTAACTTTTCTGTGTTGTTACATCTGGAATTGAATGTTTTCTCTTAGGGTATACTAGGTTTTTCATATTTCCTTTTTTGCATGCTTTCTACTATTTCAATTATAATGAATGTTTAGTAGTTCTTTTGACAGTAGGCTATACACGGCATTATGAAAAAAGGAACGTTAAGTGTAGAAGAAATTGAATGAGATAGCTTAAGTTGGAACCATCCTTTTGTTTAATCTGCTGCCAAGAAGTTCTGCTTAAGGGAAGAGAAAAAGGGCAAATACTTTTCTGTATTTGTGAAGTACTAGAATTGCATTACCCTCTGTACTTGGCTAGCCAGTATTTTAATACTCTAAAAAAAGTTATTAGATAATGGAATAAGTCCTAAACAGTAAAGATCATCATAAAGAATTTTAAATTAAAGATGAAAGAAAGAGGCACCATGCAGAGTAGGGATATACCTAAGATCACCCACTGGTTAAGCTGAGGACTCAGATTGCTTGAGTCCTGATTAGAAAAAGAATAAAATATTATATTGATTTTAATATCAAAAAGTATATGGCGGGGCTTCCCTGGTGGGGCTACTCTTCATTGCGGTGCACGGGCTTCTCATTGCGGTATCTTGTTGCAGAGCAGGGGCTCTAGGCGCACAGGCTTCAGTAGTTGTGGCTCACGGGCTTCAGTAGTTGTGGCTCACGGGCTCTAGAGCACAGGCTCAGTGGTTGTGGCATGTGGGCTCGTAGCCGTGGCTTGCGGGCTCTAGAACACAGGCTCAGTAGTTGTGGCACACTGGCTTTGTTGCTCCGCGGCATGTGGGATCTTCCCAGACCAGGGCTTGAACCCCTGTCCCGTGCATTGGCAGGCGGATTCTTAACCACTGTGCCACCAGGGAAGCCCCTATTGCTGATATTTTAAAGGATACAAATAAAACAGCCAGATGAAGAGATGCATAAGGCAAGTTATATGGGAAAGGACTCGAAGCCTCTGTGCCCTCTCCGAGTGCAGCACCTTCCCAGCCCCTCCATATATTCACCAATCCAGAAGCTCTCTGAATCTTCTCCTTTTGAGTATTTATGGAGGCTCCATTACATAGGCATGATTGATTAAATTACTGGCCATTGGTGATTAATTCAACCTCCAGCTCCCCTTTCCTCCCTCCTCCCAAGAAGTCCAGGAGTGAGACTGAAGTTCTAACCCTCTAATTATGTGGTTGGTTTCCCTGACAACCAGCCCCCATCTGTAGAGGCTTTCAGAAAGTCACCTCATTAACCTAAACTCAGGTATGGTTGAAATGGGATTGTTATGAATTACAAAAGACTTTCCTTTCACCTTTTTGGCTCCTTGTCACTTAGGAAGCTCCAGGGAGCTCCTTTGTCACAAACAGTACAAAGATCTAACATACATATTTCTTATTATAAATCACAGTATCATAGAAGGAAGATGCAGATTTGCCTAAACTAAGTTCAGAAGGTGATTGTTCACCTCTCTGCTTCCATAAAATTGAACAGTCCTCCAGAACTACTGAATAGGGAAGTATTAATGGAATCTTACTCAGCCATAAAAAGAAATGGAGTTATTTGTAGAGAGGTGGATGGATCTAGAGTCTGTCATACAGAGTGAAGTAAGTCAGAAAGAGAAAAACAAATACCATATGCTAACACATATATATGGAATCTAAAAAAAAATGGTTCTGAAGAACCTAGGGGCAGGACAGGAATAAAGACGCAGACGTAGAGAATGGACTTGAGGACACAGGGAGGGGGAAGGGTAAGCTGGGACAAAGTGAGAGAGTGGCATTGACATATATACACTACCAAATGTAAAATAGCTAGTGGGAAGCAGCCGCATAGCACAGAGAGATCAGCTCGGTGCTTTGTGTCCACCTAGAGGGGTGGGATAGGGAGCGTGGGAGGGAGACGCAAGAGGGAGGGGATATGGGGATATATGTATAGCTGATTCACTTTGTTATACAGCAGAAACTACCACACCATTGTAAAGCAATTATACTCCAATAAAGATGTTAAAAACAAAATAGGGAAGTATTAACAAGAGCTTTTCATTATAAGTAAATAGAAACTATAAGAGGAACTCCTAAATATTGATGAAATAAAAGGGCAAACATTTCAGTGAATGTGCCACATATGAAGCTTATTTTACTAACATGGAAATATGTTATAAAGGATTAATAGTTAATTTTACTTATTTCCCCTCTTAACTATAAGACTGTTGTTTTCTGACTCAAATATTATTATGTGATTATGGCACAGAAAATCATATTTTTAAAATGCTTATAAAATAGTATGCAAAATCTTGGGACAGGGAGCTTTATTGCCTAGAAATAAAAATATCATGTTTATAAAATATTTGTGGGGAAATGTACTGATGTCTGCATTTTCCTTGGCACTGCAACAAAAAAGATGAACTGATGGATAGAAAGGGAGATGAATAGATATGTGATAAAACAATGTTGTAAAATGATGATAGAATCTAGGTGGTAAAAAAATATATATATTATTTTCACTTTCCTGGATGTTTGAAAATTTGTATAATATATTGGAGGATAATATGTATTATGTTGGAGTCAATATTTACACTTAGAATTCAGAAAACAAAAGGTAGTCTTTTAGAAATGGCTCTTGGCTTATGAAAAATATATATGTTAGGCAAAAAGAAATTGTTAACCACTTTGACTTTTAAATGGCTTTTTAAATTTTACTTTTTACTAATGGAGCATACACAGTAAATAAAACAATTATATGAAACCAATTCAAAAAACAAAAATACTAAAACTGCTACCTACGAATATTTAGAGAATAAGACAGAATGATATACAGAGAAAAACTTCCTGGTCAGATCATCTATTTAATGGATAATATATTTAAAATATTTGTTTAAAGCCTGGTAGAGCTGGCAGGAAACTAAGGGAAACACTCAGAAGTTGAAATGACAAGGATGCTTGATTCCACAAGAATAAGCAAAGTCAAAGTTTGCCTTGAGGGCATCTGCTGGCACCTGGCAGTGAGGTGTTTGATTTATAAAGGCTGTGTACTCAGAGGGTTGGAGACAAAGCCTAGAGCTCAAGCAGAGTGGGAGACTGGATCAGAGATCCCCACATCAATCTAGGACCCTTGAAGGGCAACATCTTCCTTGAGAGAACTAAAAGGAAGGAAGGTATGAGATGCAAGAAGGAGTGGTGGACAAAAATAATGTTAAACTTGTGGGAACTTAAACAAAAATGGATCATGTAAAACATAACCACTAATGTCTAATGCAGGTGGTTAAATTAAGATTAGAATCCTGGACAATGACAACATATAAATCAGAAGAGAAGTGAAGAAGTTAAAGCATTCTAAGGTTCTTGACTTTTCAAGAGGAAGGTAGAGATACTTATTAATACCAGATTTTATTCAGTAAAAGATACACGGTAGAATTTCTAGGGTAATCACTGAAAGAATAGAAATAGAGTGTATACTTGTCAAACAAATAGAGTGAAAATGTTGGATAAGGAAAAAAAATTCAACCCCAAAGAAGGCAAGAATTGGGGGAGGGTGCAGCATGCAGGGGGAAGAAACATAAAAAAAGATGAAAAACAGAAAACACAATGAGGTAGTAGAAATGAATTTTAAAAATCAATAATCATTGTCAAT